ATGGCTGCACCGCGCCCCGCCCACACGCCCCACGCTACTTCCGTCCGGGCCGCCCTGGCTGTCCCAGCGGAAACCCGAGCGGGAACAGAAGGTTTCGCGGTGAGCGGGCGGAAGTGCTCACCTTCCTTAGGACGCATGCGCCAGGGTTAGCCAGTTTACGAATGAGAGGGAACAGGGGCGGGGTCGGAGGCGGGGACAACGCGCAGACAGACGCATTTGTTGTCCAATCCCAGCCAACTACCCCTTTGGGCGCCAGGCCACGTCCCTTCTGTAAACCCTTTACAGCTCGCCTAACCCAGTTGATCCAAACTCTGGCCAAAACCGGTTTGGCTCAGTGGATAGAGCGTCGGCCTGCGGACTGAAGGGTCCCAGGTTCGATTCCGGTCGGGGGCGTACAGCTCGCCTAACCCAGTTGATCCAAACTCTGAGAGGGCGGGGGCGAGCGCAGTGTTAGTATTCTCAATTTTTACAAAAAAGGAGAATGTTGAGTTGGATTTTTTTATGTACTTCAACCAAAGCAACATATCGCACAGATTGAGTGCGGCATGAGAATTCAGCTGTCTTCCCTTAAGCCAACATTAAAGACATATGCAAAAATACAAAACAATATTGTTTTCACAGTTTTGTTTTGGAAAAAACATATTTTCATAAAAATATGTTATTTGTGTTAACATGCAATGAGTTTGTTGTTATTTTAAGTGAATTGATAAATATTTAAAAGTTTTCTCAGTTTCAGTTTCTTATATGGCAAATAGCAATAGATATTAACATACACAAAAGCTCTTTGGGATCCTGAAACTTTGAAAAGGGTGTAAAGAGGTTGTTAGGCCAAAAAAGTTTGAGAACTTCTGGCCTAGAAATGACTCTTCTTGCAGTGGAAGGGAGCCTGTCTTCACTACTGCATTGCAGCTCCCAGGCCAGTGCTACCGGGCATGCAGAAGCACTCAGTAAATGAAAGGCGAGAGGTGGAACCTCTGAGTTCACAGCAAACATGTTCTGAGGGCCTTTTGTATGCCTGACACTGAGTGTGGGACACGGAGGTGACCCAGCGGGTCCTTCCTGCATGACCCCACTGTCTAACGTCATCAGCGATGCTAGGAAGGAGAGAAGCACCTAAATAGACATTAATGATGACAGAACTATGTCAAGATGCTGTTTTAAGTGTTTGTTAACTCACTCCCCCCTTCCCCATGATTGTGAAGTAGGAGCAACTGCTTTCCCCATTTTACAGATGAGGAAACAGAGAAGCAAAGGTCACAGGTGGTATCAGAGCTGGGAATCAAGGCAGCCTGGCCTGAGCTTTTGTGCACTGGGCGGGGCCTGCCAAGCGTGAGGGTGACAGACCTCCAGAGGAGAAGAGCTTTGTGAAAGGGGAGGGTCCCAGGCAGGAGGACCCCGTGGTGAGGTTACATCCCCTGGGACAGGAGTGGCCCCAGAGAAGCCAGAACAGGAGGGTGGTCTTAATTGACATCAGACTCCATGAGTTTGCCCTAAGTGCGTGCATGTGCATGGGCGTCTGTGTGTGTGTGTGTGTCTAGCCCAGTGACTTCTATAATAATAAAAGTGTAATATGCTAATAAAACCAGACAGCCAAACAACCTTCCAGATGAAACCGGGGCTACGAGGGCTTAGGCAAGCCACCACAGCTGTGAGGGCTGAGCCCCTTGCACAAATTTCATGCATCGGGCCTTTAGTTTTTTTTTTAAATAAATCTTTATTGGTTTTTATTTTCTTTTTTTAAAAAAATCTTTATTGTTGAGATTGTTACAGATGTCCCTCTTCCCCCTCCCCCCATAGCCCCCCTTCACCCAGTTCTTGCCCCATCCAGGCCTTTGCCACCCTATTGTCTGAGTCCATAGGTAATGCATATAAAATCTTTGTTTACTCTCTTCCCACCCGCCACTCCGCTTCTCTCAGAGAATCATCAGTCTGTTCCATTTCCATGCCTCTGATTCTATTTTATTCAGTTTATGCTGTTCATTAGATTTCTTATTCGTTTATTTTGATTTTTAGATTCAATTGTTGATAGGTATGTATTTGTTGCCATTTTGTTGTTCATATTTTTTATCTTTTTCTTTTTCTTCTTCCTCTTCTTAAGAATACCCTTCAGCGTTTCATATAATACTGGTTTGGTGGTGATGAACTCCTTTAGCTTTTTCTTGTCTGTGAAGATCTTTATCTGACCCTTAATTCTAAATGATAGCTTTGCTGGGTAGAGTAATCTTGGTTGTAGGTCCTTGCTATCCATCACTTTAAATATTTTTTGCCACCCCCTTCTGGCCTGCATAGTTTCTGTTGAGAAATCAGCTGGAAGTCATATGGGCATTCCTCTGTAGGTAACTAACTGCTTGTCTCGCTGCTTTTTTAAAAAATATATATTTTTTATTGATTTTTTAGAGAGAGGAAGGGAGAGGGATAGAGAGTTAGAAACATTGATGAGAGAGAAACATTGCTCAGCTGCCTCCTGCACACCCCCTACTGGGGATGTGCCTGCAACCAAGGTACATGCCCTTGACTGGAATCGAACCTGGGACCTTTGAGTCCGCAGGCTGACACTCTATCCACTGAGCCAAACTGGTTAGGGCTCTCTTGCTGCTTTTAAGATTCTCTCTTTGTCTTTAGCCCTTGGCATTTTGATTATGATGTGTCTTGGTGTGGTCCTCTTTGGGTTCCTCTTGTTTGGGGTTCTCTGTGCTTCCTGGACTAGTAAGTCTATTTCTTTCACCAGGTAGGGGAAGTTTTCTGTCATTATTTCTTCAAATAGGTTTTCAATATCTTGCTCTCTCTCTTCTTCTGGCACCCCTATAATTCTGATGTTGGTACGCTTGAAGCTGTCCCAGAGGCTTCTTACCCTATCTTCATATTTTTGGATTATTTTTTCTTTTTGCTCTTCTGGTTGGGTGTTTTTTGCTTTCTTCCATTTGTTTTATTTGTGATATGTTTCTTTGTATCCACATTTTGACTGCTTCCCTGTGTTTCTATGTATTGGGTAGAGCTGCTAGGTCTCCTTGAGTTGGTAGAGTGTTCTACAGGGTCCAGTGGCTCAGCCTCCCCAGTCACCTGAGCTGGGAGCTCTAGGTGCATGCCTTTGTGGGCTGTGAGCACAGACTTGTAGCGGAGACTTGATTGCTGGTGTCACTGGGAGGAATTGACCTCCAGGCCAATTGGCTGTGAGAACCAGCTGCAACTATAGTGGGAGAGCTGCTGTTTAGGGAACACCCCTATGGGGCAGGGCTTGCTTCAGTGGGGCTTTGGTGCTCACTGAGTCTGCCCCTTGAGTGTGTCGCTTATGGCTGTGTAGAGTTATAATCTGGTATGGTCTGACACTGACCACTGGATACACTGGCTCTTGGGTCTCCAGAGAGGTACAAAGTCAGCCTCTGCCTGGGGCCACACAGCAGGAGCTATAGAGAGATCTGCAGATTCCTCTTCTTTGTATCGAGTTTGGAAGTGCCCAGATGAGGCTGAACTATGAAGCAAGGCAGGCTGGTGCTGGCACCAGGTCTTGGGCCTTTTATTGATAGGTTTTGGGCTCTCTGACCCAGCTGCAACTCATTTGAGAGATTTTAGCCTGAGCAAAGATTTAGCCCGAGCCATTTATATGCAAAAGCTGCTGCACGCAGCTTGGGTGGGGTTGTAAATTGGATGAGGTGGGGTCTTAGGGAATCACCTGGGCGGAGCAAACAGAAATGGTTGCCATTCAGCCCTGCGACCTGGGAACAATGATCCCTGTGAGCACTTCCGTCTGGGAGCAAGCTACCTGAGTTCCTGCCCTGATGCCAGACAATCCAGTTCCTACTCCTCTGTGTCTGTGTTCCCCAGAGACCTGCCCTGGTGCTGGACCTCAGAGGAAGTGGGACCTTGTAAGTTCCATTCATGGTGCCGGCCTTTTAAGAGGAACAGCTGGGTCTCTAGCAGCCTCTGTTGTCACTGAGCCCCAGTCTGCACTGGTTTTTACAGTCTGTAGTTCTTACTGCCCATAGGGACTTCTTTTCCCAGCTCTGGGACTCTGGGCTGGGGGTCTGGTGTGGGGCTGGGACCCATTGCTCCTCTGGGCGGCCTTTGCAGAGATGATCTCCCTCCCACTTAAAAAAGTGGCACAGGTGGGTGCCGGACCAGCCCTTTCAGTGCCTCTGCACCTCCTACCAGCCTCAGTGCTTTCTGTACTTCTCTAGTTGTAGGACTTCCATTCAGCCAACTTTCCAGTGGTTCTGGATGATGGTTGTTCTGTATTTTAGTTGTAATTTTGATGTGGTTGTGGGAGGCGGGGAGTACAGGCGTTTACCTACGCCTGCCAACTTAGTTGTCTCCTAAATCTTTATTGTTGAAAGTTTTACATATGTCCTCTTTTTCCCCCCATTGACCCCCTCCAGCCGGCACCTGCCCCCACCCCACCCCAGGCCTTCAGCATCCTATTGTCTGTGTCTATGAATTATGCATATATGCATACAAGTTCTTTGGCTGATTACCTCCCACCCACGCACCCTCCCCGCCTTCCTTTCAAGATTCCGCACCCTGTTCCATGCTTCCATGTCTTGGATCCACTCTCTTCATCAGTTTATTTTGTTACTTAGATTCCACTTATGAATGAGAGCATGTGAAACTGTCTTTCTCTGACTGACGTATTTCACTTAGCATGATACTCTCCAGGTCCTTCCGTGCTGTCTCAAAGGGTAAGATATTATTCTTTTTTA